ACGTGTGTTTATACGTCATTAACTCTTTCAACTTGTGTTTCTACGTCATTATTAGCTTTTCAATAATATACGAAATTATATGTCACTGTAAACGTTTTGATTTATGTATTTCTGTGTCACTCTTACATTTTTCAACAACTTATACGTTCCTATATGAACGCTTGCTTTTTTTCAGTGTCATGAGTTTCTACTCCGCTGTTAGCTTTGTTGTAATATCATGCCTTTTTGTAGACCAATATTAGATTTTAAGCAACGTTTACGTTTTATGTTATTTCTGTCTTTTCTTTTAATAATTAATTTTATATCTACAATACCCTAACCATTTTTAAGTACATACTCTCGTTTATATATATGCCATTTCTAGTTTTTAAACTACGTTTGTTTTCGTTTTCTGAAAAATATATACGAAAACATTTAATGTTTTTCAACCAAGACGTTTTTCCGTTATTTAGCTGAACATTAACATCGTGCTGTAGAAACACTAGTTATTATTATCTTAAGCCTAAGCTAAGCCATCTTTCATACAGTAAGAGAGCCGCTTCTAAAAGTCTGGGGATCTGTGGCCATGTTAAACACTGATATGCCTCAGAATTGGCTTGAAAGCTAAAGAGATAATCAACATGTGCTCTTATGATTCATGTAGACAAAAACCTGTAATTAAATGGTTCATCACGCCCGTAAACCTTATATATACTTTCACGCATATATAATATATATATATATATCGATTCATGAGGGAGTAACATCCCTCAAATGAGATGAAATGTCTCATCACGTAGGCTTAATGAGATTTAGGTTTGATATATGAAAGTTCCGAATACTTACTGAGAATATCTTCATTAATCTATGATGTAAGCAAAATTAATACGATCTTTAGAAAATATCGTGATGTAATTACAGTAGCTTTGGTTTCGGTGGATAAGTAAGTTGGTGAACGTGTGACATAAAAAATGACTAAGTATAAATATTCTGTGTTGTTTGAGTATGATAGAAATAACATGTTTTTGACGACATTTTACTAGTGCATAAAATAAATAAAATATGATCATCTCTATAAACAAGTAATAAAACAAATAACCAATCTCGGAATTTTCTTAATCTTTTGATGATATATTTGTTATTAAAATATTTTTTTGTTTTGGGGATTCCTCCTAATTCTCACGGGGCAAGCTTTTTTATATTGTAAAAGTCGAAATTTGTCTATAATATATGGTAAGAAAAGTTGTTGTTTTTTATTTAAACGCAAAGCTTCACAATGGGTTGTCTGTGATCTTTCCATCGATGGGAATTGAATTGAACTCCGGATTTTAGCGTTATAAGTCTGTAAATTTACCACCGATCTATCTGGCCAGTTTTTTTTTTTTTTGTATTTCAACGCACGTTCTTGACCAGAAAGAGGTCGGTATGGCCATGTGGTTAGGGCACTCGACTCGCAATATGCGGGTCGCGGTTTCGAATTCCCGTCCCACCAAACATGCTCGCCCTTTCAGCCGTGGAGGCGTTATAACGTGACGGTCAATCCCACTATTCGTTGGTAAAAGAGTAGCCCAAGAGGTGAAATGCTGCCTTCCCTCTAGT